GCCATGTGGAAACAAATGCAGAGATTGGAGTGATGCTTCCACAAGCCAAGGAAAGCCAAAGGTCACTGGCAAACCACAGAAGCTGGGGAGAGGCCTGGAATCTTGGACTTCCAGCCTCAGGACCGAGAGAGAATAAATTCTGTTGTTTAAACACCGCCCAGTGTGTGGTACTTTGTCAAGCAGCCTTTGACAACTAATACAGTATCTCTTGTGATTAATTTGTTATAAAATGTGCTGGAAGACACGTGGGTCCTCCTCTAGGGGGTCAAAGTGGTGCAGGAGCAGGAAGTTTCCCTGCTTCAGGGCAGGATGCAGTCCCAGCTGGAGGGAAACTGCTGTGTGGACAATGCTCACCCCTGCTCGCCCCACCCCATGTCTAGAGCCCTCCTTTTACTTTCAGGTCCCCTGCCCCCGATGTCTGCTTGTCCTCACAGAGGACACACGGCCACATTGCCATCTGGACCCTCCCAGACCTTGATGTCCTCGGTAAAGGGAGCATCGTCCTCCTGCTCCCATCAAAACCGACCCTCCCGTGGCTCCATGACACCCAGATCCTTGTTGTTCATTTGTCCTGATAATGTTCTGTCTTAATGGCCACCTTTAATACTTTTTGCCTAAACCAGTGACCTCTGATCAATTACAAATGCTGTGGCAGTGCAGGAGAGATCACACGGTTGCAAGTGGCATATCCCTGGTGCCCTAAATGCCCTGCCAAACTGCAAAGGCCAGCCCTCTGGGAGGGAGGAATGTAGTCTCATTATCTGTTATGTTGACATACGTTTGCTGGTCAAAGTCCTGCAGGCACTTTCGCAAGGCCACGTCCTCCCCCCACCAGCACAGCTCAGTGTGGGTTTGTTAGTAGCAGCTTCTACACACATCAGACTTTGCTTTGATGGAAAATTTGGAAGAAAAGAACAATTTAAAAATTGATCTTTCCCTAGGTAAAATAAGAAATGGGACTGTGATGAAACTACCTTTCGTTATTTTTTTTACCCCATTGAACTCGCCACCATTTTCTACCCTTGTCACCCCAAGGACTCCCAGACTTGCAGAAGGATCTATTTCCCAGAGAGGACTGGTTTGTAAGTCACAGGCCTGGGTTTGAATCAAGGCTCTGCAGTCCCTCACTGGGTGATACTGTGCAAAGCAGCAGCTGTGAAACTCAGTGTCTCCACTTGCACAATGCAAATGATAATGGGAGTGGGGCCATTTAAGGATTGTATGACATACAATGTATAAAGCTCCTGTGCATTGGAAAAAATGCAACGGTAGTTTCCTTCCCTTTCTACCAAGGCTGGTATAATGACACCAACTCACTTCTTAATTCATTTTCCAGAAAGATCCCAGAGGAAAATTAAGAACTCTGTTCATTAATTATAATATTCCCATTTATTAAGGGTATATTAAATGTTGGAGATGTTAGATACATTGTATCACTAGTTCCCAACAAATGCAAGGGGAGGGGTGTGTGTGAAGCGGGCGGGGTGGTATCATGACTGGAGGACAGGGTGCTACTGCCATTTAATGGGTGAGACGCAGGCATGTGAAAGTTCTCGAAATGCCCAGAACAGTCACACGCAATGAAGAATGGTCCTGCCCAAATGCTGGTAGTGCCCTTGTTGAGAAACGCTTGCTTTATGTAATTTAATTTAATCCTTATGAGAACCTTAAGACACAAAGATTATTATCCCTGCTGTACATATGGGGGAACTGAGACTCAGGGTCAAGACAAACATCCAGTAAAAGGCAGAAGCAATATCCAGATTCCAGACCAGTGCTCTTAAGCACGACCTGTTTCACACAACAGAGTTTCTAGTAAATTTGCTACAGCAACATTGTCATTTTGCTTTGGGTTGTATTGTTCTCTTTTCTTGTGTAATTGCCAGGAATATTTGAGATTTCTCTCTCAAAATTCTTGAAGGCCAAATTTTCTGTAAAAGTTTGTTAAAAACCTGAAGTTCCTATTTTAAGACTCAGAGGCAGTCCATGGTTGCATCTTTTCTCCAGGGACTCACTTCTCCCATCCCTCCCACCAAAACCAGACAGAGAGACAGAGACAGACAGACAGATGGGCATGGGAGGGCAAGGGACAGCTGCTGCCCTGCCTTTTTCTTGGGCACCAGAATGATACTCACAGAGCGAGGCCACTAGCTGGGGGCCCTGGGTCTTCAGGACTGTGTCACCTCCTACCCACAGGAAAGTGGTGTTTGTGGGTCACAGCGGCCTCATCAATATTTGTCAGGTCACTTCCTGGAACTGGTTAAAAGACAATGTGCAGCAAACGGGAAGGGATCTTGTTTTCAGAGTGTCCGTCCTGGCTGTCTGTCCTACAAACAGATGAGTGGGCTGTTATTCAGGACCCCGATCAGCTTCCAGATATTCTGACACTGGTGACGATGACAAGTGGTTATGTCGTAGCTGCCAATCCATGAATTTCGAAATAAACCACTAGCTCAAAATGCACCTTACTACTGAAACAACCCCCTCGCAGTCCCTCTAGCCAAGAGAAGATGGGGCCGACTGGGGCGCCCGTCCCAGAGTCTCACCAACTCTCCATCTACAAGGAGGGGCTTAAATTGGGCAGTGACCCTAATGGTGGGAGGGAGAT